TTTTCTTGCTTTCCTGGCACCTGAGTTAACAACTTACTGGAACAAAATTTTCACAGGCCCGTGCATGTTTACTAAGCATACCTGAGAGCCGGGTCCGAGCTGAATGAAACTTAGGTGGACGGCGTATATCCTCTTAAAATTGCATTCTTTTAGTTTCTCAGGTACTTGAGTTATCAATTTACACGAAAAAAATTTTGGTGGGTTCATACGCGGGTACCACGCTTACCCGGGGGCTGGATTTGGTCTCATTAGCACCTGCTTGGACGGGGAACATTCCCCCAAAATCTCAGCTTTCTAGCATCTCAGAACCCCGAGTTATGAACTTACCCGAAAAAAATTTTGGCGGGCTCGTACGGGGGTACCACACTTACTCAGGGGCTAGGTTTGAGCCCACCAATAGTCGCTTCGACGGGGGACATTACCCCAAGATTTCAACCTTCTAGCTTCTCAGATCCTCGAGTTATGAACTGTCCCCAAAAGGACTTTAGCGGGCCCGTACGCTGGCACCACGCGGGTTTTGGCGCCCATTTTGGGGATTGGGGCCGGCCCGTGCATGTAGATCAAGTTCCCGAAATTTCAGCCCCGCAGCTTTTATAGGTCCTGAGATGGAAGTGCGTGACAGACGCAAACACAGACACACGGACACACAGACAACCTCTCGTCAATATACGTTTTCCGCACTACACTGCTGCAAAAAACGCACAAGGAAAAAACAAGAGCCGCCAAATCAAATTTCTCAAGAATGAAAGGCTGCCTAAGGTACCCGCAAAAAGGAACCTCACACTTCACAGCTACGACTAACTTTAGTACCTCATCTAATAAAGGCAAGATGAGCACTGTACATTATTCAGTTCCTCCAGAATTTGGCTCGCTTTGTCGGTTCTCCCAGACAGCTCATAGCGAGCTTTTGCCTCCCTTTTCCTCGTGAGATTCTGTTGAGCACTTTGCCAATTCTGCCACACTTTGACGCGTTCGAAGAACAATTCCTGCAATTACTCAATGACTTTTGAGCGCACATACCTTTACACAAAACTTGTCCTCTGTGATTCGTTCAAAATCTAATTCAGCAAAGTCGATATGAACAGACTGGACAGAGAAGCTGGGAAATTTGGTGGAAAATCCCATTCGAAATGAGATGCTCAAATGGATCGCTCGGGCCCTGGGTGAATTGACGAGACCATGGAACGGACTGAATTTTTTGAAGTACACCTATAACAATCACCGATAACAACAACAACCGAAACCTTTTGAAAGAATACGTACCTTTAAAGTGCCAATTACTTGCAGCTGCTCGCTGACTTCTTCGGCGAGCAAGGCACAGTCTTTTTCGGCCTGCTCAGCATGCAGCTGCCCGATGTTTTCGTAAGTTTCAGTTAAATGCGACAGGGTTCGTGCAAGACTTGTGTTTTCCTCACATGACGCAAGCATGGAAAGCGCTTTCGAAAACGAATCGGTGCCGGAAATCAATTCACGTCGGAATGAGCTCAACGACTCGACCGCTCTGAGCAGCTTGCTCAAATTTTGCTCCATATCGTCCATCTAAAAGAGGTAAACTGTAAGAAATTCAGAAGTGCAGGAAAGGCACAGATAACCTGAAGGACTAAAAGGAAAAATATGATTCTCCGAATGTAAGCGAGAAAATTAAGCAGAAACTGAAAGCTAGACAGAATCACACAAATATCTTGACAGAATATAAAGTGCAGATATATGTATAAACGAATCGGGATATTCTTTTAAGGCTAGAATTAAACTAGACCCTCAAAATCATCTAAGCTGATTCTTGCATGGTTGTAGAATACGAGTAATATTAAGAACTTAAATAGGGCCGAACTAGAACTAATTGTGTATGTATAGATGTAGAAACACAGTTGGTGTAAGAATAATTGGCCAACGCAAGGCTGCCCGTGAGAAGATGCTTTTTTGCATAGTTCCCTCAGTTTTTGTTGCTACCGGCACCGGCTTTTCGGCAGATGCTTCTAGCTAAACAAATTAAGACTGGCTGCCAGAACTGTTAGGAAACACCCCCTTAAAATTTCAGGTTTCTAGCTTCTCTGGCTCCTGAGTTAGCAACTTACTAGGAAAAAATTTTTACGGTCCCGTGTGTTTTCGCCACGCATACCCGAGAGCTGGGTTTGAGCTGAATGAAACTTAGGTGAACGGGATATATCCTCTTAAAATTACAGTCCTTCAGCTTCTCAGATCCCCAAGTTATGAACTTACCCGAGAAAAATTTTGGCGGGCCCGTACGCGGGAACCACACTTACCGGGGAGCTGGGTTTGAGCTCACTAATATCCACATGGGCGGGAAACATCCCCTTAAAATTTCAGCTTTCTAGCATCTCAGATCTCCGAGTTATGAACTTACCTGAGAAAAATTTTGGCGAGCCCGTACGCGGGTACCACACTTACTCGGGGGCTGGTTTTGAGCTTATTAATACCTACTTGGACGGGGAACATCCCCTTAAAATTTCAGCCTTCTAGCTTTTCTGGTTCGCGAATTATCAACTTACCCGTGAAAAATTTTGGCGAGTCCGTGCGCGGGTACCACGCGGGTAAGACCGCCCATTTCGGGGATGGGGACCCGTACGTGCATGTAGATCATGTCCCCAAAGTTTCAGTCCTCTAGCTTTTGCCGGTCTCGAGATGAAAAATCGATACAGACGAACACACAGACACACACACACACACA